TAAACATCAGAGAAAATAACTTGTTATATATAATATCATTATTGTGTCTTTGCAAAAAAAATGTATAGATCCATAGTTTTAGCTCACCTTTTTCATTTATTTATATGGAATGAAATCTGATGTAAAGAGAATAATCCTCTTGAGAAGTGGCATTCTGTCCCCATCTGTAATGTACAGACCAGTAAATGCAGCTTGGTGTATCAGCAGTTAGAAAAAACCAGATCTATTCAGTAATCGGTGCTGCAGACACCATCTATCTTTAGTACCTCAATGCTTTTAAGATGATGAAGTACCTTCTGCACCACTACAAAAAGGCTAGGCTTCTGTTTGTTATTTCATATGGTCAGTACTTAAACTACTGAAAACATTTAATCTTGAAGCCAACTCGTGATCAGCTTGAGAAACACAATTTATAGGATCAAATTTCTTTAGCCCTCAGTCCCCTGTTCTGTATTTCTAGGGATAGGGGCTTTGCTCTCACCAGGAAAACCTTTTGCAATACAGTAAGCGAACTGTAGGAAATCCAAAAGGCAGTTATTTTGGACACACACAGAGTAAACAGTAAATGAAGCACTGTGTTAGTGCGAAACAGGCCTGAGTCACCTCTTGTGGTTTCCAGTGAGTTCATGAAGAATCCCATGTGGGTATATAAGGGTAGAATTTGGGCCACAGTGTTGAGAAAACAGCTCTGGTCATGATTTCAGCATGAATGGAAACATATGGAGTTCAAAGAATGCATTCAAACAAGCCAGGCTGAACAAAAGGTCCATCATTTACTGGAGACTTTTCTTCAAAGAACTATTGCATGGAAAACATAATGGTGGATGTAGTGAACTGAAGCTTTAATAACGGACATTAATGAACATCCTCAAGAATGATGAGAATGATGAAGTGGTTTTCTAACAGCCTCCTTGTGTGTCTCATTCTTCCCCTCCGGAGTTCAGGGAAGGAAGTTAATAACTTCAACATCTTTTCAACATAACATAAGCACATGAGCTTGTCCACACTGGGTTAGACCAAAGGCCCTTCTAGTGTGGGATCCTTCTCCAGCAGTCAACAAATTATCATGAGCGTGTGGGGGGAAAATTCTTTCCTTCTTTTGCCCGTGTGGAGATGTGGAGATGCAGAGGCACTGACTGCATGTTCTGAACAGAGCCCCAAGGCCTGTTCGAGGCAGGGCCAGAGTCAGAAACTGGAAAATCATGGTGTCTTTTCAGAAGTTTACCAGACAGTCCCATCCTGCTTCATCCGTCACTGTCAGAAATTATTTATTCAAAATGATTACTAGAGCAAAAATGAGGCTAAATATTTTATACATATTATACACACATATATATATATTTGCAATTGATATTAGTTTTCCACTTCTCTTGAACTTCTGCTGCCAAGAACACTCTAAGTGAGTGCTGCCTTTCTCCTTGGCTGGTAAAAGCACCTGCAAATTAGTTTCCTCTTAATTTTCAAACTGCCAAGTACCAGTTTGCAAAAGATGCTTCAGGTCTTCTGTATTTTCTTTGGGAACAAGCACAGCACAAAGCCTCCCTGAGACTTTCCATGTTCTGCACAGCTCCAGCTGAGGAGCACAGGGATTATTCACAACCACCTCTTCCACCTGCATTTCATTGCACAGCTCTCAAAGCAGGTTCTGGAAAGCTTGGAAAATTCACATGCCATTCTTGATGAGAGTGGGGAAAATAATCCCTTCTTTTGCATCAGTGAGCACATCTCTGTGCTCCCTATTTCAAATCCTGTTCCTGATACCACTGTGCTGGCTTTGTCTGTAGCACTGCCCTCATTCAAAATGATTGCAGCCCCTGCTTACCATGCACAGCATATAAATCCCTAGGAAGCTGCAGCTCTGGTTTCTCAGTCAGGAGCACTGATTTGCCAGGAACTCAGCCAGGCTGCAGAAGGCAGGTATCTTTTCCCCTCCACACTTGCTCCCCTTTTCTCTCACTCCCTGAGTCCTGGCCAGGGAAGGACTAAGCAGTTCATTGTTTTAGGCAAGGGGGTCTCTTCCCTGTCTGCCAAGAGAGGCAAGGGCAAACTTTCTGCCTTGTGCCAGTTCCAAAGAAAAAACATCCTCTATGCTTCTCTGCCTCGGGAAAGGCACAACAAACAGGCTCAGAGCCTTTCTTCTTTTAAATTACCTTTGAACCAAACTGGAATTCCTGTTAGCCTCCTTCAGCACAGCAAGTGCTTTCTCTCAGCAGGGTGAGATCTGTCTTCTGGTAGCAAACGAATGGCCAGCATCAGCTCCCTCCACAAGTCCCACTGCTACAGGAGAAGGTCTTGTCTCTGGGTACCAACCAGCCTGGGACAGGTGAAGCAGGGGGCACAGAAACCACATGGCTACTCTTAAGGGAACTGCCTACACACTTTATAACTACTGCTTAGAAAATGGGGAATGTATACTGGATGCTCAGGTCACCCAGGAGTTACCTACAGCCTAGTTCTGGGTACAAAGAAATAACTGATTTCTAAATATGAGATGTCCATCTGGAGAGAGTATTCCATGGGGCTTTCAGAGTATTCCACACAAAAATGTGGGCAAGGAACACCAGCCTATACACTAGCCATATTCAGCTAGCAATAATACTACTTAGCTTTGATGCTACCTAGCAGGAATCTTCATTACAAGCAAGATAAATTCCCATTTTTCAGAGTGAAAACCAGATACATGTCTTCAGAGAGTTGTCCTGAGACTCAGCTCAAAATTACTGACTTAGATTACACTCTGAATTACACCCAAAGGAGGCATTAGCTCAGGTATGAGAAGGTCTGGAGATGTGGAGCTCATTACCAGGATTTATCCATCACCTTGCCAACCCAGCAACAGCACCATGCTAACATGATTATACCATTTCTCTTATAGGAAGAACTTGGCTGTGCATCTTTACAGCCTACCACTTGCACTCCACCTTGTGTACAAATGCCATGTGCCCAGGGTTACCTGCAGCAGCACTGCACCAAAAGAAAAGAAGACACAGCTTGGTTTCAAAAGGTCATGAGAACTGCCTTGGCTCCGCAGCAAAACAGTGCTGGAAGTGTTGTGTGGGAAAACAGACTTTCTGCTTTAAGGCCTTCTGCAATTAAATTATTTTGTAAAATACACAGTTTCTTCTAGCAAGTGGAGACTCAAGGGGGTTCTGAATTTAAATTAACTTCATGAGCAGTAATAAATTAAAACTATGTAGATGAATTTTCATTCTTCATGCCATCCAGCAATCATAAGGACCTTTATCACAACAACTAAGTACAGAGTACAGGATCCTTAAAAAAGCTCACAAAAATCATTGCAGTAGTTTTAATTTCGAAAAAAGAGTGAGTTCAATCTTATACTTCAGCAGATAGGAATACATTCATAAATTTAGCCCAAATACAAGATTTCTTTATTTTTTTATTCAAAATAGCATTTTTTCTCTGTGGATTTTCCACCTAATTAAAGACCAGATATTTATTAATACATAAGCACTATCATTTTTCAAATCAGTAACAAAGCACACCAAATACTATAATACGTCTTGCCCTTTTATTGTATTGTATTGTAGATAAAGAGGAATACATACAGAATAATCACTGCCCTCACAACCATAAAGATGCAGTGTCACTCTGATCCCTTTGGGAGTCACAGAACATCCACTTGTCATTCATTCCACCTTTTTATTGTAACAAGCTGCATATATCAAAACTCAGCTGTGAGCAACCATTTTTCTAAATAAAACCAAACACAGCCAAAAAACCAGTGCTTGCTGACAGGACTTTGCAAGATTCTTAAGGTACCAGCAGAATAAACATGCACAAGAGCAATTCAAAACCATAGACATGCTGCCCCCTGAAAAGGTGAGCTGTGCTGGAAAATTCACATGTTCAGTGCTGGAACTCCATCTCCTGCAAAAAGCTAACTCAAAGTCTGTGCATTACTTTGGTTCAAATCTAAGTGGGAGTAAAGTAACCTAAGGTTGGCATTTTGCAAAGGGGTTGTGTTAAACCTATTGTTTTATCTGTAAAATAAAATATAGTCTATGATAAGAACCTCTATTGCTTCCCATCAGTCAGTTACCAGTGCTACAGTGGAGTGTAATGCTACTAGAAGCAATGTGTTGCTGTGTCATGCTGCTTCTCTTTTATACAGACTAGGTCCTAATGACCTATAAAGGGTTTTTCTAGAATACTACAAAGGACAAAGCAAATTTCCTACTTGAAATGCAGGTGCAAGGAAGCTTTTCCTTTCTGAGAACCACATGCCTTTCAAACAACTTTGGCAGAGCACATGGTAATACACTCCTTTGTGTTATTGAGTATGACTGCACACAAAATAGTAAGTTGGCAGTGGGTCACAGTTCCCTATTTCCCTGTGCCTAATGTGGTAGATAAAATGGGAGAGAAGCAGTTTAGAAACATACAGATAGCTACCATCATAACTTACTGAGCAGTCTGACAGCAAAATATGCGCCACTTACAGGAAGAGAGACATATTAATAAGAATTGGTAAAATTACTTTGAAAACCACTGCTGTTGATACTGCTCCCATACTCTTGTTTGTATAAAAGTTTCTAGACTGTACATAGATGCCCTAGCTGATACACAAATCTATTAATTATACTTTGGGGATGATATTTTAAGCCCTATGAAAAATCTATTGTTATCTACAAGAACTTTCCACTGGGGCCATTTTCTGCTCTCCTCCCCAAAACAAAGGAAAAAAATGAAAACTATGAGAAAGGATTTGCTATTCTTTTTCAAAGAGTAACAAGGCGCAATCTTGTCTACTACTACTACTACACTGCCTAAATTGTTTTGCTCTCTTTTGCCTCACACTGACTGCAGCAGGAATATTAATAGTATCAGCACTGTAACCCACCTCTATGGAGTGTAAAGTCCATGCAAGAGCTATGGCCTGTTATGGAAGAACTTAAATATTTCTCAAAATACAGTTTGCAGGAGACTCCTGGGCATGTAGGCGTTTTGTAGGCTCTCTGCCAAAACTCTCTGTAGAGGCCAGTTTGAGTGGTTCAATCCAGTATGTGATTTGCTTAATGAAAGACACTTCTCCAGAAGATTTTGGCAGACGCAATCAGTTCAATTGCCAGGCAGTATTCATGTGATTACAAATGATACTGATCACATTAGGTGCTTAATAAATCTCTCCAAAAAGATCACAGCTACTGTGTGGCTCTGAAGAAATTTAAATTGTGATACAGATTACTGTGTTTGCTGTGCACTGGACTATTGATACAATTGGGAATAAATACCTTCCTTGGACTGCCAAGCAGTCAGTGACAACTACTAATTTCTACATAAAGCCATGACTGCTTGTTTGTAAATGTTTAGCTATGCATCATTGCAAAGCGGCTTCCTTTTCATGTTAGGGATACATCCTACCATAAATATATTAAAGAATTCAACTCCACTGACTTTCACAGATCTATGCCAATTCACATGTGCTGAGGGCTTGGCCTGAGAGTCCAAGGACAATTTTTGGCTTGAAATAGAAGAAAAGTGAGATGCTGTCCTTGCATAAAACCCATGAGCTAGACTTTGGCACTGTTTCTTCTGTTGACATTTCAGCAGATGCAATATCACATACAGTAATGATAAAACACATCAAAGCAAAAATGATCTGAGCTGTACCTGTTCGGAAAAAAATACTTTTCCTTGCATCATGGCACAACTTGCACTCTGTATCTTCCTGTAATTTATTGAACAGCATTTTAAAAATGAATAAATGTCCATTGGCCGAATCCCAGTGCTCATTTCAGTGTATTGCATGAAAGCAATCACACAGGCCTCTCTTTTCTGCTCTCAGGAGGAGGGTTTCTGTCTGCAAAAAAACATGAAATCAAAGAACTGAATATATCAGTTTAAAAAAGTATATAATTGATTAGACCTAATCCTTCCACACAGCTGTAGCCAAGGTGCTTTGCTGAGTGAAAAATCATAGTTATTAGTGCTGGTTTTCATCCAGGAATAGTGATGAAATAAGTATATTCAGAACAAAGATGCATGGAGAGTATTTTTATAGTTAAAATGTTTCATTTTCACAGTTAACTTCTAGGGACTAGGCTGTCAAAATTATTAAAGTGTCCTTTATAAATGCTGAGAAAAAATCCACTTTCAACAGCACTGCTCTTAATTCCTTTGCAGTGATTGATGGCTTCCTGTTGACGATGTCTTCAGTACTGTATAATTTAATTGCACCAGATAGCATGTGCTGAGGAGCCAGTTGTGCTCTCAGTTACACTGCTGTTTCTTTAGAATAACTCTGTGTTTAATCCAGCTGTCAGTCTAACCTTGTTGTCTGAAACACATAATCTTTCACGGCAGACCTAGACCTGAGTTTGTGGCTCCTATTTTAACCTGAGTTGATTTACTGACAGTTGCCTTATTATCAACTCCTTTTGGAGCCATGCCCCCAGAACTCCATCAAAAGCTTAAAAACCATCCTCTGTATACATCATTTAAAATTACTTGCTCTTGTTTTTTGGAGTGCCTTAGTGGAAAAGCATTTCCAAGCTTTTTTTCTCTGTATCCAGGGGAAAAAAAATTAACTTCAGATCCTCAAAGATATTTAAGTATCATCTATTTAGTTATGATCAAATCACTTAATTTGTGGGTCCTGGTCTCACTTTTTGAGAAACAAAGGCTGACTTTCTCAAATGGCACCATCATTTCAGAAGCTGAGACTCTTGCAAGATGCAAAATAAAACTGTTAGTGCAAGCAACTCACATTAGCAAGCACAATTGTGACTGAAGAAAAAATTCTTCCTGAGCATATCTTGTGGTTTTCACCCTGTGGTCTGTGGTCCTTTACACAGTTTGTAGACTGACTGAAGAGTTTCTTGAGGGGAAATAAAAGTTACCAAGCTTAAATTCACCATGAATGGGTTTTCTGTCTGCACTGGAAAAAAAAACCATTAAAGGTTGAAAACCACTTGTTAACAAATTGTCTCAAAGCTCTGTGAAACAACAAGGTCTTCAGCCTGCTGGTGTTCCTCTGACATGATACCTCCCGAAAATTAGAAACAGCAAAGGGCTAATTAACAAAGACTCACAGTTTCCAAAGGAGTAGCTGGGCACTTCTACCTGGGGACCTGCTCTGGCTTGCTTGGCCAGCAGCACCTCTGTCCCCCAGCAGTTCCCACTCTCTACTACTCATTTCTTGTTCTCAGACTGCAAGATTTTGCAGGGAGAGGCTGTTTCAGAACTGCTTTTCCCTCCCCTCCACAGCACTCTATCCTTTTCACCTCAAACAAAAAATCCACCTTTGCATTAAAGAGTACTTGTTCACTTCCCTTGTCTGCTTTCACTTATCGGCTTAGTGCAATGGCAGGCGTTATTAAACACTGCTCCTCGCTTGTACGATGAAATCTCGGATGAGTGAATGCTCTCATTGTTGAAAGCCCAGTAGAAATCATAGAATCATCTTAACATCAAACAGCCTTACTGGGTTTCACTGTTATGCCAACAAGCTGTCACTGTACCACAAACCCTGCCTAGGCGTCACTCATGACTATTTACAGGCAGGAAGAGTAGCTCTAGGAGCATTTGACTGTAAACTGAAAGACTATGAAAGAGAAGCATCAATTACAAAAATTAATTGCGGCCCTGTTGGCATTGGCTTAGAAAGTCCCTGATAGGAACAGTCTAGCATGGGGCTTGCCCTTGTAACAACAACTTTCAAGACTCAGGAGTTGTTGAACGAAGTTACCTGTGTGTAAAACTTGAGAAACTATAGTTAGTCAGCATGAGCATGGAGCCAAGCACCAGCGGTTGAGTAGGGATACAGAGGCTGTATCTTTCAGAGAACAGAAGGCCACAGTGTGCCATTTGTAGGGCCCTGGCCACTGCATTTCACTTTAGTATCTCTGCATCATTCAATAATTTGTATTTAACTAAAGCATCTCTTCCAGAAAGGCCTTTGGAGTCTCAATCCAAAGGCTGGAAAAGATGGACAGTAACATACCCTTTCTTTACTAGTAGTATTAAACTCTAAGAGCTGTCAAAGGGTAAGCGATGTTCCAGATAACTGGTTACGTTTGTTTTGGTGATGCGCTGTTCCTATATCCCTTGTTCTGTAATACTGAGGGCTGTCTGAATCACTGCCTTGGCATCACAGGCCTGTCCAGGTCCTCACAGAGACAGAAGCTTATCTTGCAGCGCTCTGGGACCAGCTTCTCCCTTTATATTCTGCCTCACCTCTTACAAGACAGCATTGCTCTCTCATGGGTTGTATTCCCACTCCACTCTACAAATAGAATAGCCAACACAGATACATCTGAATATCCTGTAAGTGGGATTAAGGAATTGTACTGCCTCTATTGCATTCAAAAAAAAATCTTCCCAGTGCAGCTTAGCCAGAAATTTAGGACCTCCTTTAACTTCCCATGTAAAGTCTGGTGACAGTATAAGAACCACCACAGCTGCAATTGCACATGGTCTTCCAGTGTCATGTGTAGGTACAAAACACTTCAGCTGAACTAATCCAAACAGGTGAAACCCCACTACGCACCAGAACAGCCCAGCACAGCTGCTGGAGGTAAAGCCCGTCTATTCACAGTCTGACACTTAACAGTTACTTAGTATTACACTAGTGCATGGGAAACTTTTGCAATGTAACCCTTTTGCAATGTACTGCGCTGAGAGCTCTGCCCTAATCAGTTCGCTATTGATAGCTCAAGAAAGCTAAAGTCACTCCAGCCTTATTGTGTGGGGTCCTACATGATTGCCCAAGGTCACAAGAAACCAAAGGCAAAGCAATGTAATTGCCCTTCTGTCTTATAGTTTGAGACACATAATTGATTTACATCTCTCTGGCTGACTCTGCTGTGAATGACAATTTGAGCAGAGCATGACTCTAGAGGAACAAGGAGCTCTTCTCACCTGCCAACAGAGACAGCACTGGCCACAGGCACTGAGCGGGCACCTAAAGGAACTGGGTGATGTGGCTGTGAACTGGTTGCACTCACCACAAGTTGCTTTACTGTCATGTTTCCAGTGTGAATGGAGCTGTTAGGGAAGGAGAGGTAGGACAAGACATACATGGGGGGCCTTTATTAGAGGTGAGAGACCTCCTGCCCCTTGCAAACTTCAGGCAGCATGGGAACCGCTGTGGTAAGTCCTACCCCAGTTAGTGTTTGTGCGTATTTATGAACCTACATACATATGCATTGTTAAAATCAGGGCATTTAACACACCCTCATTTTTTGTTCATTAGCACCTCTGCAGCACAAGACCAGCATGTGAAGTTGCAAAATGCCCTGTGTGCTGTGATAACTACTGGAGAAATTTCCTTCCCCCTTTTTCATGGAGTATCGATCCAGGAGCAAGGAATATATGTGCTTCCCTTTCCCCTGCCTGCCACCTTCTTGCTCTCCAGTTCACTTTCTGCTCCTGCTCACTGAACAGTCAGCCCATAGCTCAGAAGCAGTGCTGTGAGATAAAGAGTAAATAATTTTTCTTGTTCTTCTCTCCCTTTATACATCTTCTTTCTTTCTCTATTTGATGCAGGGACTGTCTGGGGTAATTCTTCAGCCTGTTATGCAAGAAGTCTGACTAGATGATCTTTAATGAACCTCTCCAGCCTGTGAAAAATAATCTGTACTTGGTAAAATCCTATTTGCTGAAATGGAATTGAGTCAGCAGAGATGTCATGTCTGCTGTACACAGACAGGCAGACCTGGCCACTTGGAGATAAAGGCTAAGTAAAAGCATTTCTATAGAAACACATACCCGCGTGTCTAGATTATACGCCGTCTTCTTTAAATCCTGCAACGCCCTCTGCATGAACTCAAACGCATGGCAGTCAACACAGGGACGACCTGGAAAAAGGTACAGAAGAAGACATCACTGTCACAGCATGACATTTGGAGTGTGGCAGTACAGAGAGGGACTACTCAGAGACCTTGCAACGCCAGGAAAAAAAAAAATCTTACCAGGCACGCACACTTGCATATGTACAAAGTTAGCCCTGCCTGTGGACAGGGCTGCATCTATTCTTATGCAAACGTGTAAGGACCAGCAAAAACACAAGAGCATTTTGCTGTGTATGCTTTTCTGAACATAGCCTAGGCTTGATTCTGCCTGGTGCTGTGTGCCTTCAGCCCCCAGCCCATCCCCTTAAAATGAAAAACCTCAAAACTTCTCAGACATGGGTTAATTCTCAAATGATACCCTGAGAATAGCAGTTTGCAGTGGTTCAGGAATCAGACAGGCAGGTCTGTTTTTACAGGAGCTCTTACAGAGCAGCTTGGCAAGGGACAGTGCCAGATCTGTATTTGCTTCCTTTCACCTGCTGCTGTATTTTTTCTCTGCCAGGAATGCAAAGCATCCCACTGGCTCTGCAGCTGGTGCCAGTGTGTGCACAGAGAGGGGCAGGGCAAGAAAAAGGCAGAGAAGAGGAGGAGGAAGGGACTGGACAACTAAAATGGCTCACTTGTGGACCTGGGCATTTCTGCTCTGCCAGGATTCACCTTGCACTAATCTCAGGCCCTTTCATTCAGTTACAGAGTTAATGAAGTGTGGATTTTCAGAAGAAATTGCAGATACTGGAGGAGATGCAGGGGGAACGGGGAGAGAGGGCATTTGACATTGATCACAGAGCCCCCATGTTGCGGGGGGTGCTGAAATCCTTGTCCACAGGCAGCCACGTGTGCTGCTCTGACAAAGCAAAGAGGTGCAAAGCTGCTGCTGAGATAGATAGCTGGGGAGCTGCCTGGAGCCAGGGACCTGCTGTGCGGCACTGCGGCACCCTGTGCTTGGCACCCTGCTGCCAACATGGACTTCTGAGTTGGGCCTGATGGAAGGGAGCAGCCAGAGTGCTTCTCGGTCCCCAGCAAGCCTCTTCGGGACTTTGACCTGTTTGGGAGGTGCTTCTCTCTGATCCATCCTCCTCCATCTCCTCTCCATGCAGCTGACATCTCAGGGAAACCCAGGGATCAAGCCAGGGATTTAATTCCAGGGATGTGGGGAGATGCAAAGTCCCCACCTCTGTAAGAACAGCATAACTCATGAAGTCTCTCTCTCCAGGCCTGAGAGGATTAGCGACAGGATGGTTTTGAGCACATCTTAAAGATACTCAACCCCCTCCTGTTTTCAGTATTTCAGTAATTTAATTGTTTTCACTTCAGATCATGGAGCAGAACCCTTAGAAAGAAGCTGCACCCTCAGCCTGCTGTCAGCAAATCCATCATTCACTTGGTGCCGTGGCCTGCTCCCTGTCCTTGCTGTGGTCTTCTCGGAAAGCACCTGCCCTGGCTCCACCTCAGTGAAGCGCTGCATACCCTGAAGTGCTGGTCACTAAAGTGTTCTCAAAATCAGAACTTGATAGAGAGAAAACAAACTTCAGGTTATAAATGAATGTGCTCTGGCATAAATGAATCTCCTGCTCTGGCAGTGTGGAGAAAGCATCTTTGAGGACAGCCATGAATTCCATAGTCAGTCACTGTCTGCCACCCAGGAAGCCTTCCCAGGCCTTCATGAAGGCCATGGCTGTGTGGGATCATTCACTGGTATTTATGGCAACCAAGCCCTCCTACGTGGACGGGAAGGTACTAGTGCTACGGCACAACCGTGCCAAGTGGTTATTTCACTTCTGCCACCTCCATGAAAGCAGGTGCCCTGGCATCAAAGCAGCTTCTGCAGGGAAGTGGTGGTGGCACTGAGGACACCTGCCTGTGCAGCTCTGCGTGTCCTGGATCAGCACGTGCGAAGCTCCTAACTTCTCTGGCACAGAGCTGGCAATACTCTTCAAAGCCGCAGTGCAGAAGCAGCCAGTTTCGTCACATAGTGGGGTATTCACTCTCTAATCTAGTTTCCTGGGCTGTCCTCCTTGGTGGAGGGTCCTTCTCCAGGCACAGCTGTCTCTGGGTCAGGTTAGCACCCCTGCCTGCTGGCAGCTAGCAGCCCTGCAGCACTGGCAGTGGGAGAGCTCGTGGGATTCCTCCAACCAGCTATATCCCGGGATGGGATGCATCATTTTGACTTACAGTGGCACAGAGAGGACTCACTGAAGCAGCACCACTGGCAGATGGGAGGACAGCTGTATCTGGGAGGAGGTGACAAATGGCTGGGGAGGTGACCGGCTATAAACTTTTCCACCCATGCAGCCCTGCAGAGCACACATCTGTTCAGCACTTTGGGCACTGAACTAGAGCAGTGCTGATCTCTCCGTCAAGCATCTTGCACTAGCACAGAGCAACTTGAATGCAAATAAAATAGGGGCAATACCCCACTACCGGGAAAGCCTATAGCCACAGCTGGACTTTTACCAGCAGAGCTGCCCCAGTCCTGACTTTAACTGGGTTTTTAAACTATTATTCCAGCCAGACTCTCGCAGTAGCCAAGAGCAGATACTTAAGGAAGATATAAGAATAAGCTTCTAGCAATGTTCTTCTAGCCTACCAAGAGGCTGGAGCATAGCCTGAGTCTGGCTGGTGTCTCTACATCTGATAAGCCCTCCATGAATTTTTCTCATGTTAATTTGCCCTGTTGCTTCCTGAATCCATGTAAACTTTTGACATCTAGAGTATCCTGTGGCAATGAGTTCCACAGCTCAGCTCTTCAGTGAGTGAACAGAACACCATTCTTGTCTCCTCTGAAGGTAACATCTGCTGCTTTCATGTCCTACCTCTAATTTTTGCAGTGGAAGAGAGAGTTATGAAATATTCACCGTCTTTGTCCCACTTACGACTTTGCTGCTTTCCATCACTCCCTGCCTCGGTGTCTCCTTTCCAGACTGAAGAACTGGGCTGGTAAGCTGGCCTATCTAGCTGGACTTAATCTCTCTTCATGCTCACAATATTTTCAGTAGGATGCCCGTGGACATTTCCCCAACATAACGATGTCTAAGGGTCTGTTTTCACAAAGGCTTTAAACAAATCTAAATACGTGCTGTTGCCAATAGGAGCAATCCCACCCTGCTTTCTGTCCTTGGCTATGTGTTCCCACACCTTCCCTTGCTCACACCAGGAGTGACCATGCAGTTGCTCAGTCAGGTGGATCACTGATTTTTTTTTTCTCCAGATCAGATCCTGAATGCCCAAGTTCTGGGGCCAGAAATAGGGCAAGGACTGGAGGCCAGGTTATGGGGAGGAGAAGGGCAGGGGCAGCATAAGCTTACATCAGCTTAAAGCAATCATGAAACCAAACCTTAAGTCACATCATAGCAAAGTACAGCAGAGTGCTATTAATTCCTTGCTGACAGCTGGGAACAGAATATCATTCATAGGGGGACTTAACAGGTTTGTGGATTAACATAATGAGAATTATCAAGAGTCAGCTATAATTCTTTAAATGGGTCCTGTCAGCATGAAGACTGTAGGTGTCTTTGTGTGTTTGGGGAGGAATGGGGGAGGAGAGCTTAAAATATGTTTCTTGGCTTCTTCTTGGTGAAAAACTGGAACTGAAAGCACTGTGGAAGTCTAATTTACTTTCCCTCATATGCACATGGCGTTTAGTCTTTGTATTTCATGCACCTTGGCTAATGAAAACAGACTGACCAGCTTCTGTTCTTCAAATTCCACATTTCAGCTTTCACAGTGGGTGATCCGTGCTATGAATGCAATGGGAGGTTGGGGAAATTACTTAATTTTTTTTAGTGGATTGCACTGAACTTTAAAGAAAATAATCCGCAAACATTAGTAATGCCACTCCATACTTGAACAGTCTTTTGCATATGCAAAGTGCTGTGTATAAAGTATAAGGACATGATTAATCACTGCTAATTAGCATTATTCATAAAAAGCTGGGCCTGGCTCTCTGACTGGCAGAAAGTATGCCAAGTGGAGAGCAGGTGATGGTACCCCAGCCAGATATCGGTGCCACACACAGGGCAGGATGTCTCTGTAAAGCTAAGAACTCTGACTCGCTCTCCTACTTCTCTCCTGTGACTCCTGCACCTCCCACACTTGCACAAGAGCATTGCGGCCCCTCTCCTGCTGCAGGAGGGACACATCTCCCACCACGTGGGAGAGAGGCTGTAGTGCTGTGCGGTCTGTGAGGGATTGTTCCTGCTAAAGGCATGTTCCCAGTCCCATGTCACACACCTGGGAACAGAGAAAAGCATCAAGCATCACGCTGGTCTGCCCTGCAGAAGGACACTTAGTATGGTCCATGTACATCATATATCCCTGTCAAGAACATGTGCTAGAGCCCCCCTTTTCTCGCTGGGCCGCTCAGGATCCTACAACCACCAGTTTACCTGGGCTGACAGTATGGACTTAAGTGCCAGCAACAGGGAAGGTGTGCGCCCGTGCTGCAGTAGCACTGCCCCCAAAATGGGTCAGTGCCTAGGAAGATGAACTCCTTGATGACAGTCAGTGGAGCTGACATCAAGCAGGGAAAGATCCGGGAATGTCTGTACTAGATCACATCAAAGGTCTGCCTGTCCTAGTGTCCTGTCTCCCATGAGCTACATCTCTTGTAGCACATTAAAAGTGTCTAGAAGCATTCCCAAGCTTTGAGAGTAGCTGGCATGAGACAGCTTATCTCTGGAACAGTAAACTCTGTCTTCCAGATAGGCAATTGGCCTCCTGTCATGGACAAAAGTGTTCCAGGGACCATCCTAGCGGGTTACTAGTACAGTCACATCCCCACACCAGGAACATCCATGGGCACTGGTTATAGTCGTGACCTTCATGGCCAGCAATGGATGCCTGTGAAAGAGCATAAGAACAGGGCAAGTATGAAGGGATGTGTCCCCAAAGACCCTCCCGGGCCTCAGGAATATGCTGAGGCAGCTCCTGAGCCAGAAGAACTGCTGCTGTATCTAACAGCCCTTTCTAAGACTTTTTTCCTTGAGTTTACCCAATCAGTTCTCCAATCCCATGCAAACTTTTAGCATCCACAGTGTACTAAGGGAGGAGCTCCACAGGTTTACTATCAGGAAGAGCCCTGATGGGCAAAGGAAAGTACCTGGAGCACTTAGCAGCTATGCAGCACTCTCTCGACAAGAGGCTGATTAGGAGCATCCCGAGTTCCTTGTTGCTTTAAAACTCTGTCTCTGCAGCAGCGTGACAGCGTGAACAATTTACCATTCATGATCAGCTGAGAGTCTTCCTCCTGGCTTGGCCTCAGACATAAATACCATTATGCATTCATAGCAATGCTACCAGCCTCCATTACTCCGGACAGAGCAGCATGTCTCTGCAGAAACACTGGCCACAGAAACACTGACCTGCCCTTCATTCCTCACTCTCACATGGAGGAGTAAGACAAGACAAGACATGGAATCTTCCTCAAGGGCTCTTCAGGGGACTTCAGTAGCCTGGCCAGAAGATATCAGAAAGATAACTCCTTGAGACTGGCGTCAGAGACCCTGGCCAATGGTTTTAGTCTACAGATAAAATGGGAGTTTCCACTACACAAGTGGAACAAAGAACCACTATATACTTCTTCCTCAAAATATGTTGACTTGCCTCTGCTAACACAGACACATAAAGGGCACATATAATTTATTTTTCAAGCATGATTTTCTCCTTGAGGAGACAAAATGGACTACTTGTCACAAAACTTATTAAAATTAATTAATGCCTAGAAAACAAACACACAAAAATAGAGATGAGGTCTGTTTTAGAACAGACCCAAACTTAGCATTAATTTAAAAAGAAGAGAATGGAAAAAGAAAGGAATTCAAGATGTAAGTCCTGTAGAGACAAAAACACATAGGTGTATTTGAAAACTAGTAATGGAATTATAGGAGAATAAAATGCAGTGACAAATCAGGTCTTGTATTAAATATTTTAGCAGTTATATAAAAAGATACCTGTGATACAAAGTAAGCATGACTAAGAAGTAGAGATTGGTTTGTATGCAATTACCTTCCTTTTTTTTTCTCTGAGAGGATATTTTAAGTTTCTAATGAGTGGCTACTTCCCACCTGCTGTCACCAAAACGCCCCGAGAACATTGACTCCATCCCCTAATATCTGAACTATTGCCTCATTTTGGAGCTGAGAAAGTTCAACTAGAGACTTGCTCAGAATGACAGAGGAGCTGTGATCCAAATTCAAGAGCTCCCAGCTCCATGGTGTGCTCAAGCCAGTCTGTCATATTTATTTATTTTTTAGCTTTGCAGAATAGCAGCAGGATTTCAGAAATCTATATATGCTTTACAAGTACACTGTTTGGGTCAACTTCCCCTGTGTCAATCTGTAGTAGTTACAGGAAAGTTGAACTTGAACTGTTGTTCCAACTAAATACTAAAATAAGCAAAATGTAATGCCCTAGCAGAAATAAACAGAAATTTCCTTCTAACAATATCCAGACTATCAAGGACATCATATGTATTGTGGCAAATCTGGAAACGAAACTTTCGAGAAGCAGATCTGAAAGACCTACAGTCAAAGAGCTTTAAAACCAGCTTCAGTGAAAATTACAATATGCAGTTACTATTTTTTCCTAAATAACTACTAATCCTTTGCTTGCCCGCTGTTTTTATAAGCGTTGTTTTCATGTGCTTTGCTGACACGTTACAAATTCATCATTACTCCCTCGCTAATAAGGCAATGCAGCGTTCCCCTGGAGCTTAAGGTCTGTGTGGCTGCTGTGGGTTAAGCGGAGGAAAGCAAGCGGGACGCGGTGCAGCAGGAGGGCACGAGTGCCCACGGCGGGTACGTACTTTCTGCAGGAATGACACTCCCAGAGTCCTGGCTGGCCCCCACAAGCCTCACGCTGAGCAGGCCAACCACCGAGATGAACGGGATGGCCACACGCATCACCCTCCAGACAGACGGCAACGCCATTACTCTCATCAATAATTCAAGCTATCTTCCCTGCCTGAAACGAGGAGAAATAAAGAAAATCAGCGGTTTGTTGCCAGCATGCTGCCCACAAAGAAGTGGACCGGGCGTGATAAGCACAGACCCGCATGCACACGCAAACCCACATGCACACATCACTGCAGCGACGCGCCACGGGCTTGCGATGCACCCCAAGGACCAGTTTGCCAAGTACCTGATCTTTCTCTTCGCTTGTGTGCCAGACCCTTGGAGCAGCTGTAGCGAGCAGGCGAGGCTCCAGCAGCCACTCTGAGCATGCGTCCCCTCCGCATCCCCCCTTCCCTGATTAGGGTCATTGCCATGGAGATTTGCTATAGCAACACTGAAAAATTGGAGCTGCCAAGTGAAGAAGAAGATTTAAAGGGACCACAATGTGGTGGGTGGTCAGTGCTGTACTCCTCCCCTGTCTCTGCTCCTCGAAGGCCATGTCCTCTCCTTGGGGAACACCGGCTGCTGCCACCCACGCAAGAGGGTCTTCAACAATTTTTGTGTTTGTTGCTTTTATTCCCAAAGGGGCTGTGCTGAAATATGCAGCTCCCATCCCTTGCTTTATGTGTAACTCACTTAAAGTGAGATTTTGTTCCAGGAGGTTTCAAATGAGATGAAAACTCGGAAGTTTGCTTGGAAAAATAGAGATGCAGGGCCTGTTGATAGCACCCCGCTCTCTGGGGAAGACTCCATTATGGCCTTCCTTGAACTCCACTGAAAACAAAGCCTTGTGGACAACAGCAACATCGGCACATGAACCAACCAGGAATATGGATCCTGCACGGCATCACACTAGGTAACCATGATAACAGCCCAGACAAAACCTATGCACTGCAGAAGTTTAAGGATGCTTGCTTCAAGCTCAACTCTTGATCTGGGATTTTGCTAATAGGCTGTGTCCTGACAAAGCTCAAGCATGAGCCCTCCTGGATAGGGCATCTCCATAAGTAACTGGGTGAAATCAAGCATTCAGAAAGTGGAGGTAATACCTTTTGGAAAAGAGAGAGAGAGAGATGCTCTCAACACCTGGTTGCCGTAGACCATGGTTAAAGACTCATCTTGCAACATATCTGTTCAATTCATGGCTTTTTCCTTCTCTCACAGGAGGACACTACCTCCTTTCACCAGGGAGCAGGCTCCAGCCTTCCTGGTTTGTACAGAATAACTAACCTGCCAGGCTGTGGAGGTATCGGCCTTCCTGGGCTGAGACACGATTAATCCCTGGCTTTCTTCAGCCCTAGGGACTGTCACCAGCAATGTACTCTGCTTCTATTTTACTTGTTCCTGTGGCTTCCTCAGAATTACCTCTTATATCCCTCATTTCAATGCTTATGCTTTTGGACGAGGTTAGTTTAAAAGTCATCTCGAAGGACTCCAGGCTCTTGACCACTTTCTGGCAAAGTAGAATTGCCTTGTGCATGCAAGAGAGCACGTTGCAGAGCGGCAGCCCAGAGTAGTGGAAGCAATTCCTACCAGAAAGACACATTAGGCAAATTTTTAGCCCAAAGTGCAACTGAAACTCAACTTCCCTTGCACGGAAGGCCCAACTGAATGTCTCAGGTGAGTCAGGGCACACGTGTGCACCAAAACGGCTCCACTGACTCTATGAGAAGCTGAGGCTCCTAATCCAAGCTCTGAAGTTGGATGCCTGAAGTGAGGTTGTGTGAGATGGCCCAGTTTAACATTGTTTGTCTCTTCACAGGCCTCAGATGCCTGTTAAAGGAGCAGCTCCGTAAAAGCCAGGATGTAATGGAAAAACATTGTACAGTTTGACTATACACTCATCTAGGGCTGGTCACATAGTCTAGCCCTGATCTGCAGTTTTAAATAACACCAAATGGAAATTCTGGCACAAAATCCAAACCTTACACTTCCATTCACCCTGGCATATGTGTTTCTTGCGCATACCCTCATTATGGTCCCACGGCCATATCATACATGAGCTTCAAGAAAAGGACAGAAAGGAATTGCCTACAGATGCAATAAACTTCTATAAGGTGTAAAGCACTGTTTGTTCTAATATTTTTTCAAAGTATCTAAATAGAGTCTTTTCTAAAATTATAACTATTTTGTAATCTTTTTCATAATTGCTTAGTCTTTTCAGTAGGTAGGTAGAACAAGCAGTACAACTCACAGTGAGGTAAGGAAAGGAATTTGACATCTCAGGGAGGAAGGGCAACCACAGAAGTAAGCAGAGGTGTTAGCCATCTTAAACAACCGTGGAAATTATAAAAGGGGATCAGAGCAGAGAACTTGGGAAAACTTGGAATACAGAGAAGCTGAAGGTCCTGAAACATGTCATTCCCAGGATGCCAAGACTCCAAGGATGCCTGCACATGGTTTTGTGATATCTTGTTATTAGGGTCTATATATCACAGCAAAGTTTTGCATAGTTTATGTGCATCCAATAAAGCTTCTCTGTGAGAGGATGGACTGTCTTGTCTTGGTTTCTGACTGCTCAACCACCCACTATCCAGACTTAACACTGTGATAGCACCACAGAAGGAGTTTTTGCTGAATTGGACTACTGCCATCTAGACAGTACAACACCATTGAACTTGCTCCCACTTGTGGCAGTGGAGGGGATCTGCAGTAAAGCACTATCCACCGTCTAATGGAGTGGAAGGTGTTATTTCTGTGTTACAGCACACTACTAAGTTTAAAATAATGTCCTTTTTTTTCATTGCTTGGTGCCACCATAAAACAATCAGACATTGCACTTGCAGACTCAGGCCGGTTTTTGTGCTGGCCATGGTCTTTAAGAAGCATGAAAAAAGTTCCCAACTCCTCTTGCTAACAGAACCATGTGGTCCAAGATGCAGTTCTCAGTTCACAGGGAACAGAAGCCAGTCCGCATGGAAAAGTTCCAGAAATCTGTGTTGTTCTATACCTCCAGCAAAGCTGAGGAAGAGAGAAGCATGAAAGCACTTGCACGACTTGCTTTGCTATTACATTCGCTATTGCCTACCGCTGACTAAGGGATACCACTACTTAATTTACTTTGAAGGATGAGAAAATTCCAAGAGATTCATAGGAGTCCATCTGCTGTCTGAAGAATGTTGTAGTGAATCCCAGAGGGCTGTTGGAAATATTTATACTTCGTTATCTTTTTATGCAGAGAATCCATACCTAATTACCATTTGCTAACAAAAGAAGACTTTCCTCCAAAATAATCAGAAACATCCAGACGTTTATTGGGAAGATCATTAGTGAGGATAGACATCTGGTAGCTCCCTCAGAAAATCTCTTCTTGATGCCTAAGTGTTACAGGTATTGAAAGTTACATCTTTGCAGTGGAGGAAGAAAATGAATATACCTAGTTAAAATCACTAACGTTAAAGGCCTGAGTTAAATATGTGTGCATAAAAGGAAGGTGCTGGCAAAGGTTCTAATTTTAGAACTCCATTATTGTAGTCATGGGTACACATGACAAATACAGTGGTTAATCCCAGTCTAATACGAAGTGCTAAATCATTGCCTGTTAACATGGCCATAAGCCCTTTGTTGAACTCAAACAGAAGAAGAAAGCACAGAGACAGAAGAATCTGTGTCTGGTTACTATTACTTGAATAATAGAGTGGCAAGAGAATACAGGAACAACCCCAGAAAGGCCAAGAAGCAAAACCAGATGGAAATAGTGAGAAACATGAAGAATAGCAAGAAAGCATTCTTTAAACACATGGAAAGTAAGGAAGACAAAAACCAAATGAGGAGTTTGTTCTCTATTCAGCAGAAGGGGGAAGTTAATCAGGTTGATGCCTAGAAAGTGATACAGGCCTTAGCATCTATTTTATCTACTAACCAAAATAAGGTGAACTAGTGAGCAGGAGGCTAACACGACTGTCGTGGTTTAACCCCAGCCAGCAACTAAGCACCACGCAGCCGCTCACTCACTCCCCCCCCCCATCCAGTGGGATGGGGGAGAAAATCGGGAAAAGAAGTAAAACTCGTGGGTTGAGATAAGAACGATTTAATAGAACAGAAAAGAAGAAACTAATAATGATAATGATAACACTAATAAAATGCCAACAGTAGTAATAAAAGGATTGGAATGTACAAATGATGCGCGGGGCAATTGCTCACCACCCGCTGACCGACACCCAGCCAGTCCCCGAGCGGCGAAAACCCTGCCCCCCCCTTCCCAGCTCCTAAACTAGATGGGACGTCCCATGGTATGGAATACACCGTTGGCCAGTTTGGGTCAGGTGCCCTGGCTGGGCATGAGAAGCTGAAAAAATCCTTGACTCTAGTCTAAACACTACTGAGCAACAACTGAAAACATCAGTGTTATCAACATTCTTCACATCCTGAACTCAAAACATAGCACTGTACCAGCTACTAGGAAGACAGCTAACTACATCCCAGCTGAAACCAGGACAACGACTAATACCAGTGAACATGTTTTAGGTAAGAACATTAAGCAGAAATTTGCTTTGCTTATGTATGCTTGTAGGTTTGTGCCAGGTCATTTTTCTGCGTTTCAGTCTGCCTAGAACTCTCTTTTTACTCACGGCTATCACTAGACCTACCTCAGGACATTTAAAGAAGAAACTAAAGCAACCACCATCAGCAGTTATTGCTGAGAGCTCAGGGAAGATGTGAGTTATAGCAGCCACGGAAAAGGGTAAATGCAGTGACTATCTTTAAAAGCAGGAAGAGAAACTGGAAAATGACACACAAACCAGTTTATGATCAATCCCTGAGAATGTTTTAGAAGTAATAATCCCACCGACAGTTTGTAAGCATTTGGAAAACAAGAACTGGAATTGCAAATAAGAAGTATTTGTCAAGAATCAAGTCAAACTAGTGTAGTTTCCTTCTGTGACATGGTAACAGGTCTTGCAGGTAGGGAAAGCCAAATTTAATCAACTTCAGGAAGATTTCTGATGCTGTGTCACACAGCATTGTCAGAAGAAAAATAAGGAAACTGCTCTAAGGCCAGCAAAACTGTCTGGGTCACTGCTGAGAGTTAGCAATGGGTCACTGTCACCATGGAAAGATATCACATTGGGTCTGCAGAGACTCACTTAGTTCAAGGGTTATTCAGCATTTCATTAGTCAGCTGGATAATGAATAAGCAAAGTGGCTACTTAAGATGTAACACCAGCCTGGAGGTTATAAGCAATGCTGGGGGAGAGGACTGGAATTCTAAATCATACAGACAAGTTGAAAAAAGGGTCTAAAAAACAGAATAAAATTTTA